TGGGTGGTGAATGTGTACTGAATGATAATGAATGGCTAATTTATGGGGTGATTGACTGGATAATTAATGGGCTTGAGGATAATGGGTATCATGAGTGCAGAATGGTAAAGAATGGGTGATAAATGGGTGGTTAATGGGTGATAAATGGGTGGTTAATGGGTGATAAATGGGTGGTTAACTGGTGATAAATGGGTGGTTAACGGGTGATAAATGGGTGGTTAACGGGTGATAAATGGGTGGTTAATGGGTGATAAATGGGTGGTTAATGGGTGATAAATGGGTGGAATGGGTGATAAATGGGTGGTTAATGGGTGATAACTGGGTGGTTAATGGGTGATAAATGGGTGGTTAATGGGTGATAAATGGGTGGTTAATGGGTGATAAATGGGTGGTTAACGGGTGATAACTGGGTGGTTAATGGGTGATAATGGGTGATAAGTCTTGTTAATGGGTGATAATGGGTGATAAGTCTTGTTAATGGGTGAGAAATGGGCCTAATGGATTTAACTCAATAGAGAGAGAGAGAGAGAGGATGAAATAGAAAGCAAGAAAAGAGGTGAATAGCACAGGAACAGGTAAAAAAAGCAAAAAGAAAGAAAAGGGGGAAGGGAAGAGAAGGGAAGGGAAGGGAAGGGAAGGGAGGAGAAAGATTACTGAAGCAGGAAGAGAAGACTCGAAAAATAAGATATTAAAAGAATACGAGAGAGAGAGAGAGAGAGAGAGAGAGAGAGAGAGAGAGAGAGAGCAGAAATACGAACAAGTTAAAGAAGTATAAAAAAGATAGAAAAAATAGGTAAATAAATAGACAGTAGAAGAACGAATGAAAGAAAGAAAGAAAGAAATAAAGAAAGGAAGAAAGAAAGACACACAAATAACGAAAAAAGTATCTAAACAAAAACGATAAATATAAACAAAAGAGGAAAAGCAAGAAGAAGAACTAACGAGAAGATCCTGATAACAAAAGAGAAGAGTACCGGAAGAGGATGAATATAAGGAGATAGGAAAATTTAAGAGAAGAGAAAATAACGAAGAAAATATATAAAGAAAAAAGAAAGAGAGAGACAGACGGAGATAATAAAAAATGTGGTTAAGAGGCGCAGAACGAGAGAAGAGAATGGCGAGAGAAACTAGAGAACGAAATACGAGGATAAGGAACGAAGACTAAGTTATGCAAAGAGAGAGAATAACAATAACAAACTGGTAACTTACGAGGGCGGAATTGGAGAGAGAGAGAGAGAGAGAGAGAGAGAGAGAGAGAGAGAGAGAGAGAGAGAGAGAGAGTATAACGAAGAAGAAAATACGTAAAATCAGATATATATAAAGATAAAGGAGGAGGATAGATATGATAAAGAGAGAGAGAGAGAGAGAGAGAGAGAGAGAGAGCATCGTAAAAGCTGATGAGACGACCGCTGGTGCAGGGGTGTTGGTCATGCCGTAAACAGATCAATGTAATGTTTCTCCTACTGCCCAAGGTGTATGTGGGTGTATGTGGGTGTGGGGTATGGATTAGTTGGCTAAGAGATGTATGGACAGGTAGGTGGGTGGGTGGGTGGGTGGGTGGTGGGTGGGGTGGGCAGGTGGGTGGGTGGTGGGTGGGTGGGGTGGGTAGGGGTGGGTAGGTGCCTGAACAACTACAGAGAAGGTAAAAAAAAAAACCATCAGAACCCAACAACAAACTCGCCTTCCTTCTAGTTAATGACACACTTTACCACAAATACCCAACGCCAGACGAAAGTTCGCCCCTCCCTGCCTTTCTCCTCTCTCCTGCATTGGTCCCTCTCTCTCTCTCTCTCTCTTACTCGCCTGGGGGCAACACATTCCAGATTCTAGACTCTCGGATGTAAACAAACTTACCATTACGTCTATAAACATTGGATTTCGATGATTGGAGGAGAGAGGGAGAATCAGTTCCCTCCATCACACCCTTTTACGTACATACACTGTAAATCCTACCTTATATTTCTAAGTTAAAAATCGCCATTAACTTGGTAAGTGCAGCTGAATCCATCAAAGTTTGAAACTCTAACGCCAGGAAAGCTTTTAATAACACCTTCGCGCTCGCTGTTGAAGTTAAGGTTAAGTTCCAATAAAAATGATAGCGAGTTTGTTTATGCTCCTCCCCCCCCCCCCAGGGACTCTTCCACCTCCTGCTGTGGCTCGGGAAAATTACGTCCTGGTTGGGAGACTTTGAGACGTTGTTTACCCGGGCTTATTATTATTATTATTATTATTATTATTATTATTATTATTATTATTATTATTATTATTATTATTATTATTATTATTATTATTATTATTATTATTATTATTATTATTATTATTATTATTATTATTATTATTATTATTATTATTATTATTATTATTATTATTATTATTATTATTATTATTATTATTATTATTATTATTATTATTATTATTATTATTATTATTATTATTATTATTATTATTATTATTATTATTATTATTATTATTATTATTATTATTATTATTATTATTATTATTATTATTATTGTGTGTGTGTGTGTGTGTGTGTGTGTGTATTATTATTATTATTATTATTATTATTGTGTGTGTGTGTATTATTATTATTATTATTATTAGTATTATTATTATTATTATTATTATTATTATTATTATTATTATTATTATTATTATTATTATTATTATTATTAATATTATTATTATTATTATTATTATTATTATTATTATTATTATTATTATTATTATTATTATTATTGTTATTATTGTTATTATTATTACCAGTTCATAATTATCACGTTATTACTGAAGTCCACCCGTTCAATGACACACACACACACACACACACACACACACACGTTTATTATGCTTGATGAGAACTTGAAATTAGGTTGATGAAATATTTTACTGGTGATGGGAAATGTGAAGGTGTTGGCAGCCATAGTTGGCCTCTGGTGTTGTCCTCAGCAACTCTTACCTCAGTCGGCCCACCCACCTATCACTTATGTTAACAATGGCATTTTCTTTCTTGTTTGTCTGTCTGTGTCTCTGTCTGCCTGTCTTTCTGTCTATATAACTATCTGTCTGTCTGTCTGTCTGTCACTATATATCCCAGGGTTGACAACGGAACAGTGATAGGCCGTTTGATAAAATTTTGCATCACCTGAAGATCAGACACCCCTGCTTGTATCACCTGAAGATCAGACACCCCTGCTTGTATCACCTGAAGATCAGACACCCCTGCTTGTATCACCTGAAGATCAGACACCCCTGCTTGTATCACCTGAAGATCAGACACCCCTGCTTGTATCTTACGAAGATCAGACACCCCTGTATGTCACCTGAAGATCGAACACCCTGCTTGTATCACCTGAGATCAGACACCCCTGCTTGTATCACCTGAAGATCAGACACCCCTGCTTGTATCACCTGAAGATCAAAGACACCCCTGCTTGTATCACCTGAAAGATCAGACACCCCTGCTTGTATCACCTGAAGATCAGGAGCACCTGCTTGTATCACCTGAGAGATTAGGCAACCAAGATTATTTCACCTGAATATTGCCCCGAAGCTACCTGGAGAGGTTAGGTTAGGTTAGTCAGTATACTGTATATTCTCGTCTATGTATAAACCTCCACGTTGCTTTTATGTATATATCTATAGCCATGTATACATATATAGATATACAGTGAAGGAGGAACAAGAGCCCCTGAACGTGATAAACCCGTGTTACACAACCGAGAGTGGGTCCGGGTCGTATTCTGGTCTTTGTCAGCTGGTGTTGGTATTATTATTATTATTTAGAGACTGGAGCTCATCAAGTGGACGGGCGTGTGTGAGTGTGCCTGTGTTTGTGGGTAAATAACACTTGTTTGTTGTACACAGAGTTATGTTTCAGCCCGACGTTTGTCAACAGGTCGAGGAGAGGTAAACAAAGTGTGTGTGTGTGTGTGTGTGTGTGTGCTCTCTCTCTCCCTCCCTCTCTCTCCCCTTCCCTAAGGACTTCAATCCCCCCTCCCTCTTTCCCTCACTCCACTGTTGGCCTCACTCTCTCCATCCCTCCACTTTTCCCTCCCTCCATCCCTTTCTCTCCCCTTGTTCTCTTTCTCCCTCTCCCCCTATACCTATCCCCCCATACCTATCTCCCCCTTTCCCTCGCTTTATCCTCTTCCTCTCCATCTCTCTCTCTTCCTACATCCATTCCTTTTTCCTCCTCTCCTACCTACCTACCTCTCCCTACCTACCTCTCCCTACCTTCCTTCCCCTTTCTTCCTTCCTCCCTCCCTTTCTACATTCATTCCCCTCTCCATCATCCTCCCTTCCTTTATTCTCCCTACCTTTATCTCCACTCCCTCCACTCCTCTCCCCCCTCCCCTCTCCACTACAAAACAGGAAAACTAATTCGGATCACCTGATGATAAGCCCCACCTGAGTTAGGTTAGGTTAGGTTAAGTCCGCAGTATACAGTTTAACCATCGGATGAAATAAACTGGGGTGTCTATAATTCAGGTGACCAAATGTTCGTAAACTCCGGCTCTCAAAATGCCTCGTCCCGGGAGAGAGAGAGAGAGAGAGAATGACAGCCTCTCTCTGGCTGTCAGTCCTCTACCTGACAGCTGTGGGTGGCTGGGGCAACACTGACATACCTTGGGAGTCACGGTTGCACGTACTGAGTTGGTGTGAGTGTTGCAGGTGTTGCAAACTGACGTAAAGTATGAGTGATTGTTGGGATTATGAGTGACTGTTGGAGGTATGAGTGACTGGTGGAGTGGTGGAGGTATGGTATTAAGTATGGTGACTGTTGGAAGTTGGGTGACAGCTATCAAACACATGGCAAAACACTGTAATCCATATATACCATTCCTCCTTCATGGCAGGCCTCTCTCTCTCTCTCTCTCTCTCTCTCTCTCTCTCTCTCTCTCTCTCTCCCACACACACACACAGCTACCTCCTCCTCTTACAATAAACCTCAGTATATTCGCAGCTGTAAAGGAGTCTCTTTTTTCCCCGGCCTGAGCACAATGTTGTTCTTGACTCACCAAATACGGCAAATTTCTCAGATGCTCAAAAACGCTCGTAAGTCCGATAGAGATCTTGAAGTGTATTTAACTTATTGACTTAAGCTCATAAAATACCCCTAGAGATTGTGTTAGAGTTTCGCCAAGACTTAAAAGTTTATAAGGAATAAGATTAACCTGGAGAATATTTTAGTTTATTGCTTTTTTTTAATTATTGGTAACAAATTTGTGTATGATTGTTAGGTTAGGTTAGGTTAGGGTTAAGTTAGGTTAGGTTAGGGTTAAGTTAGGTTAGGTTAGGTTAGGGTTAAGTTAGGTTAGGTTAGGGTTAGGTTAGGTTAGTGACTCCCAACATATAACAAAACTTTAACCAGAAACATTCCTCAGCACCACCAGTTAGGTTAGGTTAGGTTAGGTTAGGTTAGGTTAGGTTAGGTTAGGTTAGGTTAGGTTAGGTTAGGGTTAGGTTAGGTTAGTGACTCCCAACATATAACAAAACTTTAACCAGAAACATTCCTCAGCACCACCAGTTAGGGTGACAAAATTACCAAAACAGAATCTTTGTGATATCCGGACCCAGGAGTGAAAAATAGCCACTCCGCCCTCTCCCCTGCCTGCGTGGTCTTGCCAATCACGAAATACTGCAACTTCAGGTCTGAAATTCAGTAGCCTTGGAGTTCCGGAACTTGTCAACTGTGTTAGACCGCCGCCGCCCACGGGGGAGCTTCATCCAACTGAGATTGAGCATTTTATCTCCTTTCTTTCGTGGTACAGGATGTCTTGTAGTCTTTCACAGGGATAAAAGGCCTTGACTACCTGCATGTGTACTGTACGTGTGAGTCTGTGTGTCTGTGTATGTCTGTGTGTGTGTCTGTGTGTCTGTGTATGTCTGTGTGTGTGTCTGTGTGTTTGTGTATGTCTGTGTGTATGTCTGTGTGTCTGTGTGTGTGTCTGTGTGTCTGTGTATGTCTGTGTGTGTGTCTGTGTGTTTGTGTGTGGAGTGTCTGTGTGTGTGTCTGTGTGTTTGTGTGTATGTTCAGTGTATGTCTGTGTGTGTTCTGTGTGTGTGTGTCTGTGTGTCTGTGTATGTCTGTGTGTGTGTCTGTGTGTTTGTGGTATGTCTGTGTGTCTGTGTATGTCTGTGTGTGTGTCTGTGTGTTTGTGTATGTCTGTGTGTATGTCTGTGTGTCTGTGTGTGTGTCTGTGTGTCTGTGTATGTCTGTGTGTGTGTCTGTGTGTTTGTGTGTGTCTGTGTGTATGTCTGTGTGTTTGTGTATGAACTGTACTTAACACATTCTCTTCAACATTCACAACTTTACTGAATGTCTGAACCTAAAATAATAACAAAAAGTAACTTAGAAGAATGATTTATAAGTTCATTTACTTTTCATCCTCCAAAATAAAAATACCTGTTGCCTCTATATGTACAAGGGAATATAGTCATTCTTTAATTTTAACCAATATATGTTTGTGTTTCCCCATATTCCCGTATCTATATTAACTCTATTTAACCCTTTCATTTTAACATTCATATATAGTCACTACAAATAAACACACAGACACAATATATAGTGTTTGATAAATTCTATTCATTGTTTTCATCCGCAATAAAAGTCGACAGTTTCAGTGCGTAAAAGTGTAATATAGAAACTGAAGAAATATAACGTAGATATAGCCATCTGTTGAAATATAGCCAACTGGTTAAATATAGCCCAAATATAGCCAACAGATGAAATATAGCCCAAATATAGCCAGAATATAGCCAACACATGAAATATAGCCCAAATATAGCCCAGATATAGCCAGAATGTAGCCCAATGAGTTTCTGAGTATGTTATTGAATGGGAAGACGAATAGAAACAATAATGAAGAGAATATTGACAATACTCCAGAGATGATGACCACTAGAGTGTACCAATGGAGCAGTGGTGGTAGTGGGGAGGTTATATTGCAAGAACTAGTGGTAGTGGAGTGGTTATATTGCAAGAACTAGTGGTAGTGGGGTGGCTATATTACAAGAAGTAGCCAAACAATAGAGGTATGAGGACTCTGGTAGCTTAGTTTAGTTTCTTATACAAGTTTCCTCACCTGTTCTTTTTAATTAATCAGGTGTGTGGCGGCGTCAATGGGGAGTGTGTGGACTAAGGTGTGTACAGGTAAGTTCAGGTGTGCCCTACTAGACGACAGACAAACAGCCTTTGAAGATTAATGAAGAGACATAGCAGTAGACACTTACCCTCAGAGACACTTACCCTCAGACACACTTACCCCCAGAGACACTTATCCCCAAAGACACTTACCCCAAAGACACTTACCACCAGAGACACTTACCCCCAGAGACACTCCTTGCACCCCAGAGACACCCCACCCCCAGAGACACTTATCCCAGAGACACCATCCCCAAACACACCCCAATTCCAAAGACACCCAACACCAGAGACACTTCACCCAGAGACACCCCAATCCCCAGGAGCATCACTTACCCCCAGAGCATTCTAACTCCCCAGAGACACTTATCCCCAGAGACACTTATCCTCAAAGACACTCACCCCCAAAGACACTTTCAATTCCAAAGACACTTACCACCAGAGACACCCCACCCCAGAGCACACCCCACCCCAGAGACACTTACCCCAGAGACACCAATTCCAGAGACACTCCTTACCCCAGAGACACGCAATTCCCCTAGAGACACTTACCCCAGAGACACTCCCCATCCCTAGGAGACACCCCTACCCCCAGAGACACTTTAACACCCAGAGACACCCTACCCAGAGACACTCCTCTATCCCCAGAGACACTTACCCCAGAGAGACACTTACCCCCAGAGACATCTTCTACCCCAGAGACACTTTACCACCAGAGACACTTTGTACCCTTATAGACACTTACCCCAGAGACACTTATCCTCAGAGACACTTTCACCCCCAGAGATAGTCACCCCTAAACACACTCACCCTATACACTCAACCCTAAACACTTCCCAACACACTGCCCCCAACACACCACCCCACACACCACTCCCAACACACTCACTCCACACACTCATCTCCAACACACTCAATTCCACACACTCAAAACTACACAAAGCTAGGGTGTGTCAATTCCCTCGCCCCCTTCAACACTATTACACATACCAAATCATCAAAACCACAAAAGATAATGAAAAAAAAAACGAAAATATTTGTGGTTGGTAAAATATGCAAAACACTCAGCACTCTTTTGTTAATAAATAGGAGGCCCCTGAACTGTTCATTGGAGGCTGTATATATATATATATGTTTTTGTCAGGGTAAATACTGAGTGTAAACATGACCTATACACCAGTGGCCCAACTATTAATACAAACATGACTTTATTAAATACCCATCCTCGCTACAGAGAGAGAGAGAGAGAGAGAGAGAGAGAGAGAGAGAGAGAGAGAGAGAGAGAGAGAGAGAGAGAGAGAGAGAGAGAGAGAGAGAGAGAGAGAGAGAGAGAAAACACAACACAGATATATAATAATATAAATATAGACTCGTACATACATACATACATACATACATACATCATATCCCTGACCAAGATAACCAACTCAGGTCAGCCCAAGTGGTCAGGGTCAGCCCAGACAGTCAGGGTCAGTCCAGGAGGTGTGGGTCAGTCCAGGAGGTGTGGGTCAGCCCAGGTGGTCAGGAGGCACGGTGCCACTTCTCCTAATGGCCCCATTGTGCTAATTGACCGTCAACGTCGTTAGGTGAGGCAATATCTGATCAGGTGATGGTGGTGCTGCCAAGGAGTTATTGCTAAGGGTAAATGCTCTTCTATCGTACCTCTTGAGAATTAACTAAAGGCGGAAATTATTTGATGTTTTTATTGGTCTTACGAGAATTCAGATTTAACTGATGTCTTAAAGAATTAACTAAAAAAAAGAGCTTATGGGAATTTTTTTTTACTTTTTTTCATGTTTATTTGTAGTGTTTTTAATAAGTGTTTTTAAGTAAAAAATTCACCAAAAGGTCAATTTATTTTATTTTTTAATTTTTCTTTGGTGTTTTTGTCGTAAATTTTATTATATTTTTTTTAAGTTGTGTTATTAAAAGTAAAACTAAAACTGGGTTTATTTAATATTTCTGATATTTTTATTTTTTATTGTTCGTAAATTTTAATAGAAAACTTAAACATTTGATCAATAAAATAACTATAATAGTGACTTTAATTTGATGTTACACTAGAGTTTTTATTTCCCCCATTATTGATTTTATTTTGTTTTTACGTTCGGTTTTTACAAATAAATTTACAACAGAATTTATTGGCCATATCTCACGAGTATAATGATAATAAATTCAATCCCATGCATTAAAATTAAGATTATACCAGAATTTATTGGTTATTTCAGAGATTTATTAAGTATCGGTGTTTTCGTTTCATCTTTATTTATCTAAAGTTAGTTGTTAATAATCACGGGTGTTTGAAAATAAAATTACATCAGAATTTATTAAATATCTTTAAGAATTTACTATTTATCGTCACTTATCTTTCACCTACATTTATCGTAACTTAATATCTAATAATTCTACGTGTTTAAAAATACGAAATACATCAGGATTAAATACGGAATTTTTGGAGAATTTAATACTTATTATTTAAATTCCACCTACAATATCCATCAGATACAATTAACACAAACAATACTCAAATACCGGGAATTCACGGCAAAATTTATACCACATTATTGTAGGGACCAATTCCTACTGGCGTTTGGGATTCTGTCTAAACACGGGACGAGCAGCGTACAGTTCCACGCCTGGGAGATGACTGACCTTAAAGTGAACTACGGACGGAACCTCAAAGAATTCATTAGCTGAGTTGCCAACGTTTGTTTTTGTGTTTAATATTTGGTACACATGTTGAGGTAGGCTACACTTAAGAGTTTGTTTACGTCTAGTACCAGATATATAAACAAACAAGGAAGTAGACAAATCAACACACACACACACACACACACCAAACAAACCCCAAACAACAAACACAACCAACCAATCAAACAAAAACAAACAAGTGTAAACAAGACCACATCCCCCTATCTCTCAAAACACAGACTTATGATAGATGCAAAAAAACGTCTTGTCCCAATACACGATGAATGGGTCTCTTTCACACTGAATATTTTATGGGCGAGAAAAAAAAATATATATCGATAAGGGTTAAAAATATGATATAGGAGTGAAATATTACGTGTATGTGTTTTGCATAATGGTGTACGTACGTGTGTGTGGAGGGGGGGTTAGTGGGGAGTGGTTGTAGAAAGTTTGGTTGGGTTTGGTTGGGTTTTGCTGGCTTGGTTGGCTTTGCTGGCTTGGTTAGTTTTTGGGTTGGGTTGGCTGGGTTTTGCTGGGTTTAAGGTTTAAGAAGGAGTTGGGTTTGCTGGGTTGCTGTTGCTTGCGTTGAGTTTGGTTTGGTTGCTGCTAGGTTAGGTTAGGTTAGGTTAGGTTAGGTTAGGTTAGTGCTATAGGTGTTTTATGTGGATGATGGTAGGTGGATGGGGGGTCTTGTTACCATGGTGGAGTATGGTAGACTATGGTGGTGATGGTGGAGATGATGGTTAGTAACGAGTATCAGATCACACGTCCGTCTATCACTAATTCCCACTCATCGAAATCCCACCCAACAAGATCCCACTCTACAAAATCCCATTGAAGAAAATCCCACTCGAAAAAAAAGACATTGAACAAAATCCCACTCGAAAAAAAGACATTGAACAAAATCCCACTCGACAAAACCCCACTCGACAAGATGCTCAAAACAAAATCCCACAAGGGAGAAGAGAAACTGGCAAGAGAACGGAAAAAAAAACCCTCAGAATCGATGAGAACAGTGAACCCAGAGCATCCCATTAACCATTAACAATAACCCATTAATCTAACCTGAATAATGGGGGTGAGGAGGGAGGAGGAGTGAGTGGGAGGAGGGGTAGGAGGGAGGGTAGGAGTAGGAGAGTTAATGAAAGCTTTAATCTAGTGAGGTGATTTAAAACTCCAAATATGGCGTCTTAGTCTGAGAGATTCGTTCGTTCAATTTTACTCCCCAATCTTGAGTTAATGTGGATGTGTCTGGTAACGTTGGGAGTCTCTGGGTAATTTCGACGCCATCTTGGTAGTTAGATCAATAAATATGACTACTAATTGTTCGTTTTGTCTCTTAAAGGTCGATGGTTCTAGCTCAGTGTAAATGGTACCTTATGTTGCAGTTGAGAATGTGGTGGTGGTTGAGTGCAGTGCCGGCCATTATTGCTTCCTTATGACCCATTAAGATTTTTAATTCCAGTTTGTAAATAAGAGAAAAACAATAACTACTTTCTTGTAAATAATTAATAAATAGGAAAAAATAAATGCTTGTAAATTACTTGTAAAAAAATTAAACAACAGTTGTATTGAATATGTCGTCATGAACTCGTATACAAGGAAAAATAAACTAACAACCCAATTGGTAGTTAGGAGGAACCAATAGGAGACAGTTCATAGCATCTAACAATAACAGTATCTCGTGTCAGACTGTTATCACGAGAGCAGGTGTGATAGTACTGCCCATTAGGGGGGGGTGTTAATGGTGACTGGTGACGGTGTTAATGGTGACTGGTGACTGGTTGAATGGTGACGACCCAATAGGCATGTCCTGGTTCACTGCATCCCGTTGCTGGTGAAGTGGGGAGGAGGTGGGGTAGGGGGGAGGGGGGAGGGGAGGGGGGAAGAGGGGGAGGAGGGTGGGGAGGGGAGAGGGGGGGTTTAATGGTGATTGGTGATGGTGAGGTCTCCTATTAGTTATCCCTATTATAAGATGTTAATGGTGATTGATGATAATAATGAGTTCTATTAGTGTCTCCATTAGATAATTTTTAATGGTGATTCATAATATTAATGTATTCTATTAGATATGCTATTTAAGTTTATTAATATTTTAGTGAGTGTTAATGGGAATATTCTCTATTAGATGTGCCCATTAGGAGTAATGAAGGGGTTTTATTTACGGTTTTAATATCACCTCATGCCATGTATATTCTTAGCACCCTATTAAAGATATCCATTAAGATAATCATTACAACAATTAGTCAAACATTCCATTATTTTTGCTCATTAACAAGGTGTCGATTCCTATTATGACACAACACTCCATTTTACACCCATTAACTATAACCCTTAAAAGGTACTATTACCCATTAAAAATAGCCCTAGGACCAATAAATACCCACACATTCTTCTCCCAGCACCCCATTAGGTATAACCCATTAGTAGGGAGAAAACTAATGGCCTTTAACACACCCCATCTACCACCCATACTAAACCCATTAAACTTTTATAATAGGGAAATGTATATCGTTACTCTTTCTTACACACTTATACCCTCCCCATTCACTCCCCTCCCCACCACCCCCTTCCACCCCACTCCCCTCCCCACCACCCCCTTCCACCCCACTCCCCTCCCCACCACCCCCTTCCACCCCACTCCTCCCCCACCAGCCCTTCCACCCCATTCCTCCCCACCCACCCTTCCACACCACCCTCCCACCCACCCCTTCCACCCCACCCTCCCCACCACCCCTTCCACCCCCACTCCCCCTCCCCACCCCTTCCACCCCACCCTCCCCACCACCCCTTCCACCCCATTCCCTCCCACCCACCCCCTTCCACCCCACCTCCCCACCACCCCTTCCCACCCCACTCCCCTCCCACCCACCCCCTTCCACCCC